GATGGAAAGTGAATCACTATTATTTCCTTAATTTGGGGAATTTGACGCGTTTTTGGTAATTTGGCCATAACTTTGGCTACAGTTATCGGAATCGCTATTATGACCCCAATCCGGAAAGCTCTTTTCGGTGCGCACGTCGTGCACACCCAGCTAAGCTCGGTGGACGTCAATTTCAAGCCCAAAATTCATTGTTTTTCTTTCCAAAATTCAATTTTAAGTTATTTTTTACTATTTATGGTAATATTTCGTTTCCTTTTTTCCATATGTTAGAAAACTCGAATTGATCCAAATTTTTGGCAACTTACTTCTTTTACTTAATATTTTATTTTGGTATAATTTTGGGATTTTTCCATTTTTGGTAATTTTCCCATCATTTTGTATTTCGCAGCTATTTAACCCGGCTTGTAGGTTAGTTTTGAACATTCTGCATTATTAATAATATTGAGTTGAATTCAGAGTATTTTCTCTGATTTTTTTGGGCGTTTTCTGTCGTTCTTTTCTTGCGAATCATCTGCTACAACAAGCCAATAGAATAATCACTATCCTACCCGGCGTTACCATCTTAGGTCACTTTTCACATTATCCTTTTGAAATGGATGTCTTTCTCCAAGGCAGCTCTAGGTCACATAAACACGGGCCAGCCCTAAGAATTTTTAGGCCCTAGACAATTCATTATTACTAGGCTTTAATTGTAAATTTTTTCCAAACATAAAAATATTTAAATATTTAAATAATATATTTATATTTTAAACGAAAACTTGAATCAAATGAGTATTTATTGGAGGATCGAGAATTATCTTACCAATATTGGACTCATTTCGAAACTTGCCATAAATGACATATAATGGAATCGAGAGAAAGTTAATCTGGATAAATTAAATTATAGTTACAACTCATTAAACTAAAATACTTAATGTATAATATTAGTTTTCATATTAAACCAAATTACCATGACAATATTGGGCTCGTTTGATAGCTACATATTTAATCACGTATATTAAACTCAAAAAAAGTTATTCTGAATAAGCTCAAATTTAGTTAGAATTGAAAAAATAATAATAATAAATATAGAGTTAAATGAATTTTTCATTAATTTATCTTTTAGTTGGGTAATGTAACTTCTTCCATTTTCAGGCCCCTTGGAAAAAGAGGCCCTAGGCCATTGCCTTGTTTACTTGGCCCTAGGGCCGGCCTTGCATAAACAGAAGCTAGAATCAGAAACTGAACCTTCAGTAACCACAATAAATGTGTTTGTGGTTGTCACCATAACCTCTTTAATGCTTAAAACGGTAAACTTAGTGTGAGGTCTAAACTAGAAATTATATCACAACCTCTTTAATGCTTAAAACGGTAAACTTAGTGTGAGGTATAAACTAGAAATTATATCATACTTATCTAAGAGGGTGTTTGACACCAATTTTTATGTAAAAATGCATTTTAGAATAGTAAATTGATGGAAAATGTGTGGTTGAAAAATAAGGAAAAGATTTTTATTTACGGTAATATTATTTTAATAAAAAATGTATGGTTGAAAAAGAAATAGAAAAAAATAAATTTTAAAAAAAAATGGATATCAAACTCGGCCTAAATAATGAACGAATGTCAAGTATATATAGAATTCTATAGGTGCAATCCCGTGAGGATTAGGCCACCTATAAGCCCTAATGGGACACAATGGAGGTATAGGGAGACAACGATTGCTTAGTAAAGTAGGAACGAGACTCTTAAGCTAGATTCTTTGTGTATTAAGACAGGATAGCCCAGGGTAGCTAACATTGGTATAAAGATAAATCTAAGGACCCCATGCGAGTGAATATGCGAAGGATCATGAGGACGAGATCGGGGACCCTACACAACTAAATCAACTCACAGTGATCAGAGTAGGGTTCATGCTCGATGTGCAAATTTCGAGGTTAAGGGCCATTCGTATCTAAGCTTGGGGAGTGAAAGATTTGGCATCATGACAAGATTTGAATGATTACATGCGTTTTGTATCCAATAATTTAAAATTTTAAATAAAATGGTGAAAATAGTATTGGAGCTAAGGAAAAAGACTTGGTTTCGTCCACATATAAAATTGTCCACGTATACCTTTGATAGAAAAAAAAAATAATGAACATGATCTACACGTAAAGAACGCGTTGAAGACAAATCTACACAAATAAATGTAGCCTGACTCTAATAATTAAAACTTTTAAATATGATTGTTAGCAAAAGAGATATATAATTTCAGGTTTCGATTAGTTGTCCTTGAGTTATGGGGGTGGGGAAGAGGGGAGTGTGTGATAAGATTAATTTGGTGAGATCTTGCATGACAAAATAAGCTATTAATCACTTTTAGTGACAAAAGGCACATAAATTTAGGGTTCCCTATTTTTTTTGTTCAAGGTCGGAAGAGGGCGATTTTTCTATATTCTTAAAATCTTTTGATGCTATACAACCATCTTTGGTGGCAAAGTAATGTACATTCTTATAAAAATTAGAAACATTAATTATATACAATTAAGAGCAATAAAATCACAATAAGGAGGGGAAAAAATACGTAATATTTATAAAGGTTTGTCTCAATGTGAGACTACGTCTTTGTCAACTGTCGCACTAATTCATGAAAAATTATAACAGAAAAATTGCACACCCTTATTTCTCTAATCTCTCTCTTTTGAATAATGATATAATTAAAAACTATTGATGGTTCCCTATTTATAAGAAGATTAAGCAAAATCGAAATTACAGCTATGAAATATCGAATTAAGCTTCACAACTTAACACATACAATATGTAAATTAGTAGTTCTCGATTTCATTTAACTCATATTATCAATCATGCTAAAAAGACATAGGTCACCCTACTTATGTCCAAGGGGGGTTGGTTGAGGGTTGGGGAGGTGATTGTTGAAGAGATTCTAGATTCTCAAGATCTTAGGTATAAGAATCTTGTCATGTTTGATGCCCCATTAACCACCCTTAGTGGTATGCACTTTACAAAGTGCACTAGTTGAAATGACTTGCACCACAAATGGGAAAAAAAGGTAATGTTGGGTGATGTATATATTCATTCATTCAAAATTTTATATTATGTACATAGAATATGAAAAGGAAAATCACTTTCAGAACCAACCAATTGTTCCACCACCAAAATGACCTAATTTAATCATCATAATCAATCTTATCCCCCTTTATCTTCTCTCTTAGAGTGGAAGATTCTGTTCATTGTACAAATAATTAGTTGATTGGATTTCTTTCTTCACATCAAGATTGTGTATGTACAATACATTCTTGTAAATGTGCATATATTTCACCCATGTATGTATGCATGAAAGTAATTATAACTATTCTTGACCACAAGAAGGAATCTAAGCTCTGATATTGTATTGTGTCTTAGGATTTCATCTTAAAATGTCAATTTTGTTTTTAAAAAAAATTACTACAAACTCTTTTACAATATATATTATGAGAAAACGGATAAGATCATAACTTATTTATTTATGTTTTGTAGTACATAGTCCAACATGCCAAAAATGCACTTTAATTTCGTTTCTATAGGGAAAAAATTTGTTTTGATTGAGACTAAGGATAGCCAAACGAAGACTATTGAAGAAGAACCTTTGTTTCTATAGAATAAATTCGGTGAAATAGCTTTCGTGTCACCATATGAGTGAGACACTTCTTAATCTCTTCATATCTCGTCACACTTAAATTTTAATTATATATATATATATATAACTCGACTCAATTTACCTCAATAACTATAAGTTCTTATATGAAAGACAAGCTAATCATTTTTTTTTTTTTAAATGGAATCAATACAATATTTGTGTATATCAAGCATTAAAGAAAGAATTTTGTTATTTGTACACGGACGGTTGACATGCCAGTATACATTCACCTCAAAAGAGGGGGACCCACACTTTTTTATTGGGCATGGACCCTCTCTTGTGAGAAGAGTGTACACGGACGTGTTAACACCCTGTGTACGTCTAGCAAGACTCTTAAAGCAAAGGCCAACTTGAGCAATTTGTTTTTGAAGTTGTAATGACTATTTAATATGAATTGTGGGCCATCCTCAATAAACCCAACAAACGTCCCAATCAAATATAAATTTTTTATTATATTTCAACAATTTAATATTAGCCCCTATTTGGTACAAATTTTAATCTAAGACAAAGTCAACAATTAATTTTAACCACATATTTTATAGGTCCCGCAATTTTTCAACCACACATTTCATCAACTTCTATCAAAAGCCACTAAAAGCCTAATTTTCATATCCACCAAACCAGGTATATTCAAGTGGGAGTAAATTAAAATATTTTTTTTGCCCGTTCTTTTCTACTTATGTAAAGATCACTAAAATAAAATGGTCTATGCAAGTCTCCTCTCTCATTTGTTATTTAACAATTCTCAAAAAAGTATGCAAAGTTTATTATTATGTCACCATTATTCTTTTAAATTATATAAATTAATTAACATGTAAAAAGTTTCTAGGCACTTCACAGAATAGATTTTCTTCTTTCTTCTTATTTTTGTCAAATCAAACTTTTTTCCTAGTTGGAGTAGTGGGATATATCAAAAACAAGATGTATATTACGCTACCCACTTATCAAAATTGTGCGCATGTCAAACATATGATAAAAATAAATTCATTCTGTATATTACGAACTACATATGTCGAACACAATATTTAAATAGAATTCATTCTGTATGTTACGAACTACATATGTCGAACACAATATTTAAATAGATACACTCGGATTCTTCTATTTTGAAATTTTAGATGAGACAGGGTGGGGTTGTGGTTCTCAAAGTCGAGGAACAAGGGAGAAAAGTGTCATGAGGTGACCTGTTTCGCATATTCTAAATACAAGTAAAACACACAACACTGTTTTCTAGTTGCTTGTTTGTTAGTGGAAATATGACGATCACCGTTCTTGTCTATTTTTAAATGCACCTTTTCACTCTACAAAATGCGATTATCTTTTCACACATACAGAGATCCTCACCCACACACTGACCACAGATGTTTATGTAATATATGCATGCATAAAATGAATTTTGATTCTCATTTAAATCGAAAAATAATATTGGAAAAAGTTGTTGCTTTCACAATCATATTCGAATCTTCTTCTTCTTTAATGCAAAAACCTACTTTTGGAATATGGTTTTTAAATAGTGTCATCTACTTTGGGTTTCTATTCTGGAGTGCTGCTGCAAATTAAGTGGAAAGCTTGTTCTTGAAGTGGGATCTTCTTCTATTCTAGTTTAAAGGTCATTTCTTCTCCCTCTAATTTTCTTCTTCTATGGTTTTCAAGAAAGTGTCGGAGATGAAAATTATACACATGAAAGATTTGTTATATCTGTTATAATTCTTCTCTTTTAAAGCTTATTTCTAATTTTACTGATCCCAAGATTCCTTTTGGTATCGAGCCTTGGGTTGGGTTCCAACCTCGTTAAGAGTAACCCAATCTGATTATTGTTTTCCTATTATTTTACACTTACTATGCCCCACAAGACGGTGAATCCCTTGAGAACGTGATACTGTACTGAGCCTCGAGGATTAGCCTTCTCGAAAGTAGTAGTCTAAGCCCTTAAACGTTGACTATGATTTTCCTACTTTAGCTAGATGTGAAACTAGTAAGCAGGTGCTCTAATCTTGACGATATTTAAATAACTTGGTAATAAAGCCATTTATTACATGCTCATATATAATAAGTGTCAATAGGAGGATTGGATTCTCTTTGGGAGTTTGAAATAATTGATTGATCAGATCACAGAAGGAATTTAAAATTCTTTGAGAATTTCGTTTCTGCCTTCTGTACTGGAGCAAAGTTTTGATTCGCGTATGCTTTTGGAAAGACCGTAAAGAGTATGTAAACTATGTAGGCTGAATAGTACAGACGGAGTTATAGATAATATTTTAGTTTTTTCTTTTTTCTTTCAAACTCTGAAGTATTTCATAATTCACCTTACCGAAAGAGCCACGAAACTATTGAGTCGAGGTGTTATGGATTGAGTCCATTTCTCCTAAGAATATTTTTTTCAAGCTCTAGAATGGGAGGACTAGAAATCTTTAACTGTAAATGCTGATTTTGAATGTTGAATGGCAAAGTTTTGTTTCAATTTTGGTCAAGTTTATTTTTTATAGCTTTGATATAAAAGATAATGATCATATATAGATTCCCGAAGACATTGCTCGATGAGAATGAATTCATCGGTGAAAAGAAATCAAAAACTATGTTTTGACTTAATTCTTGTGGATACTATTCTGCTTCTCCTTTGCATTTCTCAGGGAAATAAATACAAGATTTTATTTGATTTTACTATTGACTTAACTTGTATTTCTTGTTTGATTTACTTGTCAAATAGAGGTAGCTTTCATTTTGTTCTCTTGATACACAGTGGAACGAAATGAACTCTACATCCACTCAGTTTGTTCCCTCCAGAAGGATGGGTATATACGAGATGGTAGGTGTGTGCGGGGATTTCAAAGAAAATGACTATTTGGACTCGTCTCCATCAATGATTTTTGAGGTTGGGGGAATTTATTGTAATTTCTAGTCGAGCACATTGTGTTTGTTCACTCACTTTATCCAAAAGCTTAAACGATTAGAGTGGCAATAAATTACAGGCCCCCTTATGTGTAGAATAAAGTTATGGGTGGTGGTGAGACTTGAACACAGGAAAATTTTATTGCACATATTCTGATACCATGTTTATCGACATTTTCTAAAAGCCTAAGCTATTAGAAAGATTACACACTAAGTCCATGTTTGGATGACTCTTTCAAGACTTTTTTTCATACTCACTTACAATCAAACGTTTCACAATAAAATATTTTTCACGTAAACCCAAATTTTTTTTATACTTTTTAACCAAACATTATCTGAAAATTTACTATTCAAAAACTCTTTCTTTACAAAAAAATTCTGTCAAACAGTGGCTAATTTGTTTATATCAAGTCTTCAACGATGTTAGGCTCCAACATGCTAACCGTCATTTTGTTCTACATGTCTAGCCACAGGACACTTCAGATGGAACAGTAGGACCTTCCAATAAATATGATCATGTAGCAAGGAAACCAGCTGATAAGGTAAAGATGTGTTATCATTCCTATCTAATTTATAATGGATAGGTTATTCTCAAATATACAAATTGTTCTTTGCAAGCTTGAATAAGACTGATATTCTGATTGTTCATAAACATTTATAAAAAAGGGTAATTGGCACAAAACGTCCCTACCTTTCAAGTGTATTGTGGAAAATGTCCCTACCTTTCATTTTTTGACATTTTTGCCCTCATTTCAACCTTTTTTTGCGCTGGACGTCCTTCCGTCCATATTCCGTCAGTTTTTCCGTTAATTAAAGGGTAATTGGCACAAAATGTCCCTACCTTTCAAGTCTATTGTGGAAAACGTCCCTACCATTCATTTTTTGACATTTTTGCCCTCATTTCAACCTTTCTTTGCGCTAGACGTCCTTCCGTCCATATTCCGTCAGTTTTTCCGTTAATTAAATACAAAAATACCTTTTTCTTTCCATAAACAAGGGTAAAATTGTCCTTACCCACTTCACCCCTTTTTCCCGCCATCAACTTAGTTCATAAGTAACAGTAGCAGCAACATGAATCTGAAAATACTTTAAATGATTAAGTTAAATAAAGAAAAAACATCGTGAACACATTATATTTCACAATTCCACAACTACTGTTGCTGTCATCTTGTGTCACTGGAAAAATTTAGTAAGACATATTAAATGAGTAGTCAATTTATAATGAGCCAAAATGGTGAATGGCTCTTTTTGGCTCAATGGAGAAGATGAATGGCTCATTTTAAATTGACTCATTATAAATTGACTATCCATTTAATATGTCTTTCTAAATTTTTTCAGTGACACAAAATGACAGCAACAGTAGTTGTGGAATTGTGAAATATAATGTGTTCATGATGTTTTTTCTTTATTTAACTTAATCATTTAAAGTATTTTTAGATTCATGTTGCTGCTACTGTTACTTATGAACTAAGTTGATGGCGGGAAAAAGGGGTGAAGTGGGTGAGGACAATTTTACCCTTGTTTATGGAAAGAAAAAGGTATTTTTGTATTTAATTAACGGAAAAACTGACGGAATATGGACGGAAGGACGTCCAGCGCAAAGAAAGGTTGAAATGAGGGCAAAAATGCCAAAAATTGAAAGGTAGGAACGTTTTCCACAATAGACTTGAAAGGTAGGAACGTTTTGTGCCAATTACCCTTTAATTAACGGAAAAACTGACGGAATATGGACGGAAGGACGTCCAACGCAAAGAAAGGTTGAAATGAGGGCAAAAATGCCAAAAAATGAAAGGTAGGGACGTTTTCCACAATAGACTTGAAAGGTAGGGACGTTTTGTACCAATTACCCTTATAAAAAACTATATTGTCGAAAAACCTCATCAAAAACTTTAAGCTATTAGAGAGCAGCACTTTCATTTATTTAAATTTAGTGCTTGTTTGTGCCCCATTATTTGTGAGTAACGTATTGTGGAATAGTATTGTGGAATAGTGACCGGTGTTGAAATGTGTGGTTAAAAATAAAAATTGATTTACATATAATATTATTTTAACGAAGAATGTGTAGTTGAAAATGAGTACCGTAGAAAAAATAATGTAGTAGAATGTGGAAGAATGGTAGAAAAACAAAGCCTTAGTTTACTCTCATATCATATTTTAGAGATTAGTTAATCTTTCTGTCAGCATTTGGATTCGTTATAATTTTTAGAAATAGCTATGTTCAATGCTAGTGACTGTATTGAAGTTTGGTTTACAGGTTCTGAGACGACTCGCACAGAACCGTGAGGCTGCCCGAAAAAGTCGTCTACGGAAAAAGGTATGAAAAGGTTTGTCACCGAAGTATATCCATATGTGCCGGAGAACGAATTAAAGCCTTCTGTAACGGCTAAATTATGTAACAGAAAGACGTCTACGATAGATTTTTATGACTCGGTTTATAGACTTTTCTTCTTCTTCTTCTTTCTCTCTTTACATCGTAAATTGCTGATGTGAAATGAATTTTGTTTTGAAGGCCTATGTTCAGAAGTTAGAAAGTAGTAAACTGAGACTGATTGAATTAACACAAGAGCTTCAACGGGCTAGACGACAGGTAAAATAAAAATCAATTATTTATTTAACATTATCTGCTTTTCTGTTTTCAAATCCATTTTGTAAATATTCATCAATACCTTTTTCATATTTAATCACCTTTCTTATAGAGAAAAGACATCCAACCGAAAGATTTTCTGCAGGGACTGTACAAGGGTGGTGAATTAGATTATGGTCTGCAAGGCTACTCTGGAACTACCAACACAGGTATTCTTGCTCATATGCTGCAGTTATCTGTCGATTTCTGCTAATCCTAAAAAACAAGGAAAATGCTGTGTGCACGCAGCATGGTCCAAAAAACAAATGAAAAAGTACTTAAAAGTAAATACTTTTCCTAAACTATTAGTTCAGAAACTTACTTTTCTTTAAGTACTTCCTTCCTTTTTTCTCTAAGCTCAGCCAAAATTTGCTGATATCCTGAGATAAGAGTAAGTTCAAAATTTGTGCATAAACTTGGTGAGTCTCATAGTTTGTTTCCTGTCAAGAATAGCTAGTAACTTTTTCATCAATCCAATAAAATTTTCTAAGGAGTCATTTGAGTAATAATAGCTTGTTCTTTGTTTAAGTGCTTTCGAAATGAGCTGCTATGATTTGTGTCCACCAGATTTTCCGTTTCTGGCGACTGTTGATAGTTACAGATGTCTTCTGAGCTAAGAATGCCAAGCGTTTATAATTCTAATAGAACAGCAGCGTGTCTGCAACTAACATTCTTTGTTTGAACGTGGAGGTATTGCTACATTTGAAACGGGGTATGGCCAATGGGTGGAAGAACAAAATAGACAAGTTGTCGAATTGAGGAAAGCTTTGCAGTCTAGCAATGGGCTTACAGAATTGCAATTTTTTGTCAATAGTGGCATGAGGCACTATTTGGACCTCTTCAATATGAAAGCCGCGGCTGCAAAGGTTGATGTATTCTATCTTATGTCCGGCATGTGGAAAACATCAGCTGAACGTTATTTCTCGTGGATTGGGGGCTTTCGACCTTCAGAGCTTCTAAAGGTGATGTTGTTATGCGTACTTCATTTCAGATAGTCATCCAGACATTTTGTACTTTATTTCTATGAAACAAAAGGCATACTTTTGAGATCTAAATAGTTTAAGAGCTCAAGCTGTGCATTGAGCTCCATGGAGCACCTGCGGATGTAAGTTTTTTCTTTTCTTATTTGGTTGTCCTAGCACTTGTTTTAATGAGAAATCAAATTTTGGAATAGTATTTTAATATTTAAAATTCTATGTACAAAGGACATTTGGCAAAATGAAAAAAGTGACATTGACCCGTTGAAATTTAGCTCCTATTTTGTAACAATTTTTCATCCCCAAAAAATCAATTTTTTTACCGTTATTTCACAATTTCACTCGTCATTTTTTACTTCTTCACTCATAGGTGGGACTCACTTTTCTCTCTAACTGTCAAAAAATAAATTCTCGTAATCACTACCGAACAACCACTTAATTTCCCCATTTCACCCTCTCTTATGGAATGAAATGACACTTTTACCCTCCAACTTTCTTAGTGATTATTTTTCGAAGATTTTTTTGGGGGTAAAAAGTGGAATGAAAGAATGAAGAATTAAAGTTCATGGTGGAAAAGTCAATTTTTTTTCCTCTTTTCCTGACCGATACAAAGAAGAGGGTCCCACTAAATGGAAATGAGTTTTTTTCATTTTAATGGGTCCAAAACAAGTGCCTAGTTTTCTACACCTACAGGAATCTGAGAATGCCCATTTTACTGCTAAATTAGACTGAGAAAGAAAACCTAATAATTCCCTTAGTCTGCTGCAACACAAAGTGGACGTAACTCTCACATGACTCATTTGTGGCAGAAAACGTGCTTAAACAAACTTCATTTAGCTCTAATAAGCACCTGTTTTGCTGCCTAGAACCAAAACTGGATGTGTCTTTTGTTTGTGCTTTGATTCTATTCTCAGAAGTTGTTTTATGTCCAAGACTCTCTTTTCATTCTCTTGTAAACTAGGGAGTATTCGGCAATAACTTTATATTTGTAGACAGGTTCTCATACCACATCTAGAACCCTTATCAGATGAACAACGATGGGAGGTTAGTAACCTTAGACAGTCGTGTCAACAAGCAGAAGACGCATTATCACAGGGAATGGATAAACTCCACCAAATTATCGCGGAAACTATATGTGATGGTCTACTGGATGAAGGAAACTACCTTCCGCAGCTTGCTGCTGCAATGGAGAAGTTGGAACCTCTGGTGAGATTTGTGAATCAGGTATATTTTTCCTGCTTCTTAACTCAGAATAATGAATGACTAACTCTTTCAAAAACCTCTCAGAAAGTACTAACAACAGAAATCTTGTTTAACTCAAAATCTTGTCATACGAATATGATCCCTTAGATAGTGACAATTTATAAAGATTTTAGTGAATTATTATGATTTTCAATTTTTCACCATAAATCATCATCCTTTCTTTTGTAGATTGCTGTAACATGCATCAATCTAATTGTAACAAAGAATAATTATTTTCATCATGATGTTCCTGTAAACAGGCAGATCATCTTCGTCGAGAAACCCTGCAGCTGATTTCTCGCATTCTTGACATCCACCAAGCTGCTCGAGGCCTCCTCGCCTTGGGAGAGTACTTCCAACGTCTTCGAGCTTTAAGTTCACTTTGGGCATCCCGTCCCCGTGAACCTGCTTAATGACACGCAATTTTATGCACATCTTATAGCATGTTTGGTAAAGAGGATCAAACAAAATATTCAATATTAACAATTTTGTTTCATCATATTATGTACCAAACAAGCACTTGTGTCCTTCACCCTTGCAACTAAGTTCTTCGTCGTCTAAGTTTGCATCTTATTTATGTTCAGCGAAGTTTCATACGGAACACTATATGAGCTGCTGCCATTTTTTCGAGCTTCTTCCCAGCCTTGGTAATTTGTAAATGTGATTAGGGAGTCTATTAACTAGAATTTTCAAATGGATTTTGCCTTCGTTTTATTTGGAATGTTGTATATCTGTAAATGAAAAGCCTGTTCTGTAGATTTTATTTTCTTTAGTGTAATTAATACATAACGTCCTTATCTCTAATTTTTTGGCATTTCACTCTTATTTCCACTTTTGATTGCACAAAAATCATTTTAATCCACTTTCTCAATTAAAAGCTATGAAATGACGAATATACCCTTCTATTTAAATAAAAGAAAATGAAAAAGGAAAGACCTAATTGTGACCATAGTCTCAATTTTTTTTTAAAAAGTGCAAACGAGTCTCAAATAAATTATTAAAAGGTGAGTAGCACATAACGTCCCTAACTTTCACTATTATTATGAAAAATGTATCTACCTTTATTTTAGGCATTTTAATCCTTAATTACACCTTTAATTGTGCAAACTATCATTTCTATTCATTTTTATCCACTTTCTCAATAAAAGCTGTAAAATGGTGAATATATCCTCCTATTTAAATAAAAAAAATTAAAGAAAATTAATTTTTTTAAATAATTTATTTGGATCTCGTTTGCAATTTGGGACTATGATTGCAATTAGTTCTTTCTTTTTCCTTTTGTTTTATTTAAACATAAAAATATATTCGTCATTTCACAGCTTTTAGTTGATAAAATTGATGAAATGACATTTTACGCAATGAACGATGAAAATGCCAAAAAAATACTAGGTAAAAATATTTTTCACAATAATAATGAAAGGTAAGGACGTTATGTGCTAATTTTCCTTTTCTTTAAGATAGCAAGTTTCCCAAGAAAGGGGCAAAAGTACATAAAAATGTATGCATGTGACATGTAATATCCTCCAATACATATAACACAGGTATTTTTTATAATACTGAATATGATTAGCCACAGTACTAACGTATATTTTAGAAGTTAATTTTTCATCCTCGACAAATATACGCTAGTACCGTGGCTTTAATGATGATAGATCACTTGGAGAAAAGTAGAAAGCAGGGCCGGTCCTATGATCGTGGGGGTCCGATGCAAACTCCATAAATTAAGCTCCCAAAATCAACATAAATCAAAATCTAACGGTGTATTATACAACCAATTGCTAGCTATAAACTTAACGTAAAAGACATTTGCAAAACATCTCAATTATGGAAGGATTCTTTTACGTTAATTAGAAGGTTTTGCAAAAAAAATAATAATAAAAAATAAAAAAAATAAAAAATAAAAAATGGAAAAAAAAATTTTGGGCCCCCTTAAAGAGCTGGGCCTGAGGCAACGGCCTATTGAGCCTATGCTCAGGTCCGGCTCTAGTAAGTATATACATACCACAAGGATTGGAAAACAAATTGAGCGAGTAGTCAGTAAGATAGTATTGGTTTATTGGACTAACCAAGAGTGCCTCTCGCATGGCAAGCTCTTCTAGGATCTCAGCATAGTCATAGATAGAAGGGTACACCAAAATCGTATTCATCCATCTATGCCTTTGCAGAGCCTGTCTGCTCGAACCATCTATCTTTATGGTTGACTTTTGGCTTGCACATGAAGACCCCAATGCCTCCCAAAGCATCGAGAAAGAATCTTTTGTTTGAGATAATGCCATCTCGGCCCATACATGTCAACAATTTTTGTAGTAGCTCCTTCATGTCAGCTTTAGTGAAGGCTTTGTAAAGAAGTTTGTAAGTAGAGCAATCAATGGTAAACAGTCTTTAAGCGCTTTCAAAAAACATGTCGGCTTCCACAGACAAGCCATTCATGCAATAGACATCAAGCATCACATCTAGTGTCGATAACTTTTTCTCCTGAGAGTCAACCACCTGCTCAAATATCTCTCTTGCTTATGAAACATACGTGATGGAGTTTGGTTTGTATCCCATATCAGTCATTTTCTGAGGTGCTAACTCCACTTTTTCCCTGAGACTTGCTTTTTCATAGTTTGTGATCATAGAATTGAATGTAGGAAGTGTTGGTTTGTGCATAGAACACAGGAAGCTCTTGAACACTTGTTCCATCTTTTCAAATTCCTGCTTTCTCCCATAGGAATCGATCAACAAATTAAATGAGATGAGGGCTGGCTTCAACTGATTGCTTTTCATAATAGATTCCATTTTCCTGATCATCCCATTTTTTCCATAGGCATCCATCAAACCGTTAAATATGAAGATATCCAAGGTCAATATGCTCTCATCAAGATCTTTAAACAAAACATTAATTGATCAACATTTTTTGCCTGAGCAAAAACTCGCAAAAGAATGTTATATGTACATTGGGTTACAATGCTCCATTCTCTTCATCTTGTCAAATTATCCCAAAGCATTGGTCAGCGCCTTAGATTTATCTCGAGGGTGAAGCTAGACAGTGATCAGTGCATTGTAGACCGATGTATCAGGCCTACAGCCACTATTACGCATTTTAGAAAAAAAGCCACGTGGCCATTCGAGCTTGCCCTTTTTCTCCCTTAACCGATATCAACGTAGAATATGCCCCATTATCTACTATGTACCACTGCTATTTTTGCATACATTTGAACGCCTAAACGTTAGACATATAAGTAAAGAACACCATCATTTTGTTGATGATCGCAAAATTCTAAAGTTAATGGAGCTCACAGGAATAGTGACAAAGGACACAAGGTGGGGTGGGACCTTTTGATGTAGGACATAAGGCGTACATTGGAAAAATAGTACTAGTAGAAATCAATCATCTTGATTCTGGATCGGTCTCATAAGACCATTTTGGAAGGAGAACGACGAGGGGAACAATACTTATCGCTATGCTATGATGTACATTGAATTTCGGCCGTTCGAGTTCGTTTAGGCCTCGAAAACTGATTTTTAAAGTTTTAGCGCTATTTTTTTCAATTCGTTTATTTTCGTTTTTTTACAATTCTAATTTGGTTAAACTTCTTTTTTATTACTTTTAGTTGTTCTAAACTACATTTCCATGTAAACCCTTATAAATAAGGGCTTAGCTCTTTTTTTTTTATCTTTTCATTAATAAAATTCGTGAGTTTATTTTCTTTATTATTTGGTGGATTCCAAATTACTTGTTCTTAAGATTTTCGCTTGAATTCATTTCTTTCGCTGCGTCACCTTTCTACCTTAGATTTCTGTGTAAACCGAGATACTAAGATGTCTCAGAATTTGCTTTACGACCCCTAAATTTTTTTGTTCAGCAACTTATTTCCCCTCAACACATACTACCAAGCCATGACCCACCATCAGTCATCGATGCAACGGCCACATAAATTAAAAGAGTAGCTATTACTTTTATGTAAGAAATTCCAAGACAATTATTAGTTTTAGGTAAGGTTCTTTCTTTTCCATTTTTTTCTTTATAGACGAGCACAAAATTTCCCACCCCTGGTGATTTTTCGTTTGAATAAAACTTCTTGATTATACTACCTACTTGGTGAATTATAATTCCTAATTCCTAATTCTTTTTTTTCTTTTTTAAAAATTCATAGTAAATTGGGAAAAATACGTAACTATAATACTTTACGTATACATTTCACATTTAATAAACTTACAAAAACATTTCAAACATTAGGTGATATATAAGATTAATATTATATATTTTTGTAAGATATTATGAATGAAATTTAGGAAAAATGTTTAATTAAGGATATTTCCTTCAACAATGTCATATCCCAACATACATTATTTAAATATTATTTCTCTCACCTCTCACTTTCTGTCTCTTACACCTCACACTTGTTCTCTCTCTCAGACCATCTCCGATTGTCTACACCAAATTTGGTGTATTGGTTACACCAAATATGGTGTACACCATTGGAGACCCATTTACATTAAATTTTACACCAAATTTTATTTTGAATTATTTTATACCAAATTTTATTTTACAAATTATATTATTACAAAAGTCGTTAATTATATTTAATGAAGTATAATATTGTTTATTAATAAATTGAAAAAGACATTATACATAATAACTTAAATTATAAAAACAACATTGAGTGCACGAGAAAAATTACATATAACGAGAATGACAACTAATTTATTACTTATTTATCGAAATTAGTATCTCATCCCATATATTATCAATTAATGCATCTACATCCTTGATTTGTCTATGTCGAGCAAGAAATTCTTAAAATTGGGTATTTTCATCTACAACTATCTCTACTTCCGGAGTTGGCACTTCCATCGAATCTTCAATTTGGGCATTAACATCACATTCATCCTCAATTATCATATTGTGAATAATTATGCAAGTGGTAATTTTATCATGTAAGATACGTTTGTCCTGCATACGTGCTGCTTCACACATAATTGCAAATTTTGATTGCAGAACGTCAAATGCACGTTCCACATCTTTTCTACATCCTTCTTACTTCATAGCAAATAATTTTTTTTTTTTAAGATCACTTGGATCATGAATTGTATGAACAAGAGTAGACCATTTTTGGTATATACTATCTGTTAAACAATAACTCATTTTATATTCTTTTCATTGAATAACATGATGAGCGAGAAGAGCAATACTTTCGTTGAGGTTGGCAGAAAGGTGAGATGCCTCCAACACATTAATATCATTGTTGGAACTTGGTAAACCAAAACATGCATGCCAAATCCAAAGATCATAATCAGGTACAACCTCAACAATAATAGTTGGGGTTTTACTACAACTTGCATATTGTCCTATCTATGCCGTTGGACAATTTTTTCACTTCCAATGCATACAATCTACACTGCCCAACATTTCTAGAAAACCATGTTGTTCACCAATTCGGAGTGCTCACAATGTTGTTGGCATTAGATGATCTTAGATATTGATCTCCAAACACCTCCACAGTACCACAACAAAATCTCTTATGACTTTCAGTTGCAGTGGATTCTCCTATTTTAATATACTCTTAGTAGCACCTGCCACGACTCCATGAGCTAACATCCGAAATATAACTACTATTTTTTAATAAGTTGACAATCCAGTCTACTAGTTACGTCCCTTCTCTGTACGAAATAGTTATGAACTTGCACGACCTCAAGTATACGTACAAATAAACTTTGAGACATTTGAAATCATGGAATGGATTTCATCCGAATCTCAACCAACACACATT